TAGCAAAACGATTTATTTAGATATCTCTTTACACATTATTATTTATTTATTCTTCTTTAATTTCTTATAATTTTCACTGCTCTGTACTTTCTTTTAATTGTATTAATTTTAATTTATTTATAATGTATTTTTTAAACCGATGACAAATAATGTTATAATGCAGTGCTCTGTACTGTATGTTCTAATGAATTGTTCTTAATTCTTATAATAAGCACACAGTCATTCACACCTCATTTAAAATTATAATAATTAAAAGCGTAATTATTCACACATGTGCAATTTGTCTCTCTCATCCGCTTCAATCTGACACGGTGCTCCAGCAATTCACTCAATAGCGACGTTAATACTGTGCTCTTCAACCTCCCAAATGATTTCCAGAAGGCCGGCGAGGGGCCATCAAACAAGATTTAAGGTGCACTTTTTATAATATGCTGCCTACCAGCGTGACCACCGCACAGCCAGGGAGTACAGGAGAAGAGGGACACATCTGACGCATTATTTCACTACAATGTGACCCTTATTATCTCCCTGATCTCATATATTAATGATATTATTACCCGTGGACCAGGAAGCAGACTTTTCTAATTCAATTGCCGTTTCCACAGTTTCAGAAGCTACAAATGTTCCTCTCCAGACACTCTGAGCTCGGCGGCTTCCTCATTATCTGTCACAACGTAAACACTTTACAACAATCACACAAGTGGGTATTACTGATTGAAATCTTTAGAGCTCATTTCCTGTCCTTTCAGAGACACACACGGCACATGCAAACAGTGGTGTGTTCGAGGAATAACAGCCCGCAGTATTTAGTAAACAGCCGCTGCCCACTAATCACACAGAGCGGATACTTAATGGGAGTTTCCTCCGTGTGCCTCGGATCAATCAGCCCTCTGTGTCTCTCAGCGTTTCAAAAAGAGGAAGACAGACACTTCTCCACGGAGAGAAGCATCAGGCCTCGGGCAAACAATGGCTCCTACACACACACACACACACATTGCTACTACACACACACAGCGTAAAGCAAATACAGCAAGCAAACAGCCCCAAATCAGCCGCCTCATTATCTGCTAATTGGATAAATAAGGTTATTGTGTGAGTGAATGGCTGCAGCACACACACACACACACACACTGTCATGTTTGTCTGAGCCGAGCCTAACCTCTCTTTCATCCACACACACTCACAAAAACACACACCTCTTTTCTAAACAGCAGGGAATTACAGGATGGAGAAATAGATTTAAAAGGGAATGCACACGGGATAATTCCACCGACTTGTGATCACACATTAAACCAGAACAAGCTTTAATTATAGGCGTCTGTTTTATTGTGTTGCACCGTTGGAGGAGCCTAAGATTGTCATTGATATATCTACACTGGAGCTCGGTACACATGACAATAAAAGCCTTCTTGAATCTTGTGATTTGAGCGTATAGCAGCGAGGAAAAGAGACGCAGCGGCCGGAGACGAGGCCTGATCTGGGGTCAGATTCTGGAGCCTCTCAGCATTCCTGCCTCAGCAGATGGCATCGGACGTCAAAAGCTCAGAGAGCCGTGGTGTTTGTTCTGTCAGAGAGAAGCTCCTGCCTGTTCCAGAGCACCGGGGGAACATGTAAACCCGCGCCGAGGAAGCAGAGGATCACCTCGTAGTTAAATAAAAGGAAGTAGGATGCATTTCTGACGGGAAATGACACCTTTAAGCTCGTTAAATACGTTGTTTTGCAACGTAGAGAGGGATTTTGTATTATAAAAGGGGGTGTTTAGGTTGGAAAGACTGTATTTATAATTACAAATTGGAGTGTTACATTTCTTAAGGTGTATGTATGACAATAAATGGATGGATAAGCCATTTAGCAATTATCAAACACACTACAAATTGTTATTTAATTGACATTACATTCCTTTTTTTTGTGACTTATTATCAGTTGCATTAGCTTTGACTTTAATTAACAAAACATTAAGAGCAATTTCTTTCTTTAAATACTATGTATCTATCATTTTAAATGAATTAAAGCAGATTAAAGTCTTCCTCTTTGGTTGCTATTATTACCATTATTACATTTCTTACTATATTTAAGGTAAAGTAGTTCCTTCTTTCTGATCATAACAATTAATAAAAGGTGTAACTGCTCTGTGGATATGAAAGCTTCAAAACAAGTGTATTAATACGGATGCACATGTACTGAATAAAAGGAGATAATACTACACACACACACACACACACACACACTTACACACACACTGAGATACACCTTAAGCTTGTAAATTAAAGTCATACTCACTGCACTTCTGGTTGAATCCCTGTGTGTTTATCCCTTCTTATATCGTCTTCTTTTAAAAAAACAACCTGAAATGTTCTCCGGGGAGACAGACAGAAGCTCTCTCTCTCCTTCTGCAGCAGAAGTGTGTACAACTACTTCTTCTTTCTCATTTTAGGAAACCCATGAGCGCTATCTCAGGAGACCCGTGTCCCGGTGAGAGAGAGAAGTCGTCCGATTACTGCTTCAGGCTGAGAGCGTCTGAGGAGGAGGGAAAAGAGGGAGAGAGTGAGAGGGAGGGGGGAGGGAGGGGGGGAGGGAGAGAGAGAGAGGGGAGAGAGAGAGAGAGAGAGAGAGAGGAGGGAGTTTTCTGCTGCTGTTCTGAAAAAGCTGAAAGTTTCTCGGCCTCTCAGGAGAAGACTTTGGGCTCTGGAGGCTCCACACACACACTCATTCATATAGCTATACTAAAGCCCTCTGCAGATACTATCAGACACACACACACACACACACACACACACACACACACACACACACACACACACACACACACACACCACACACACACACCACACACACACACACACACACACACACACACACACACACACACACACACACACACACACACACACACACACACACACACACACACTTTCTCTTTTACCCACATTCAGAGGTGGAAGAAGTACTCAGATATTGTACTTGAGTAAAAGTAGAAGTACTCAGATCTTGTACTTGAGTAAAAGTAAAAGTACTCAGATCGTGTACTTGAGTAAAAGTAAAAGTACTCAGATCTTGTACTTGAGTAAAAGTAAAAGTACTCAGATCGTGTACTTGAGTAAAAGTAAAAGTACTCAGATCTTGTACTTGAGTAAAAGTAGAAGTACTCAGATCTTGTACTTGAGTAAAAGTACTCAGATCTTGTACTTGAGTAAAAGTAAAAGTACTCAGATCTTGCACTTGAGTAAAAGTAGAAGTACTCAGATGTTGTACTTGAGTAAAAGTACTCAGATCTTGTACTTGAGTAAAAGTAAAAGTACTCAGATCTTGTACTTGAGTGAAAGTAGAAGTACTCAGATGTTGTACTTGAGTAAAAGAAGAAGTGCTCAGATCTTGGACTTGAGTAAAAGTAGAAGTACTCAGGTATTGTACTTGAGTAAAAGTAGAAGTACTCAGGTCTTGTACTTGAGTAAAAGTAGAAGTACTCAGATATTGCACTTGAGTAAAAGTAGAAGTACTCAGTTTGTGTACTTGAGTAAAAGTAGAAGTACTCAGATCTTGTACTTGAGTAAAAGTAGAAGTTATTGTAAATTGTAATTAAGTTCAGTACTTGTATATTTGCACAATCCTCCTTTTAATACACAATGTAATCGTTGTACCTTCAATCTAAATGATAGTTATGTCTACTCTACGCTATTTTTAATTAGTTTGTACGTCTTTTACTGGTAACTGTATTCTGTGTGATATCAATTGTCTGTGACTTTGAACTGCACTTATTGTATGAAAGCTGCTCTACAAATAAAGAGTATTATTATATATTACTCGAGTAAATCTACTTAGTAGCTTCCCATATTTCTCTGGTATTTTCTGACTTTATCTGTTAAGTATCTAAAGGTATTAAATACAAATGTACTTAGTTCCTTCCCACATCACAGGGGTTGTATCTGAGTTACTTCTCACCTCTGCCCACACGTCTCTAATATTCTCTGAGGTGAAGTGCAGCTCGTTGGTGGTGGAAGTCCTCCGTAAAGTACTTGAGTATATCTACGTAGTTTCTACCCACATTTCCCTGGTGTTTTCTGACTTCAGAGGGTTTTATCTGAGGAGATGTGCAGCTTGTTGGAGGTGGAAGTCAGTAATATAAATAGTAATGACTTTCTTCTGTCTGCTGCAGGTTATTATTGCAGCTCAAAGCCAGACTGCAGATTTCCTCGAGCTCCTGATGAGGCTGGCGTTTTGTTTTCTGCGTAACGGATAGTGGAGAGGTTCAATGGAGCGTTTAACATTTGTTGAATTTCCATGTAATAAAACTGCGGGGTTAAAAGGCAGACTGTAAGACTGAGAAATGATTACCAGAGGAAGAGGGAATCATACATTTAGCACCGTAAGGAGGTGGCGACAGAGGAAGAACACCCACTGCTGTGTTAGCGGTTAGCTCTGCTTCTATGAAGACATATAGAAAACAATGTCCCTAAAAAGTTATCATATGGCATGTTGCTTTAATTTCTTTTAAAATAATCAATTAGTCAAGTTCTGTGTGTTCATAATCATGTGTACATCTGTTTTCTCACATCCACATGCTTATATATTCTTAAAGCATTTATTTTTTGAGTCTGTTAAATTGTACTTTATTTCAAAAAATCAAATCAAATCAAATTCTATTTTTTATAATTGTTTCTATTAATGATTAGATTTTTTTTATTTATATAGCCAAATGTCATAAAAGATGTCTAAGTGGTGCTTTACATATCAACAAACATGACAATATAACAATATATATTAGGATTACAAGAATATAATAACATTGGAAGATAAATGTATATAAAAAAATTCAAGCAAAATACAAAATAAAATACCATAACATGTGTATATGTACATGTTTCTTTTTGCTGCAACATGCACAAACCTTTTTGCACTATTTTATGTATTTAAATTAAGTTATATATAACTTATGTTGCATTACAGGAGGAGTTTTAAGATTGTATTTCCCAAAACTGCATTGTCCATATTGTGCATTTGAC